CAAACTTGATTTGTTGTCCTCTGTAGGCGATGCTTGATCAGAGGTGTTACAATTTGCCGTGGCATTTGTGCAGATAGGTGGACATCATCAGTAATGTCATCATTTTTGCCAACACCAATTGAGTATTCTTTCTAAGTGGGTGCAGTATCCACAAGGGCTTTACTCTAGTCCACATGCTTGGGAGTCTGTTCTTCTAAAAACTCATATTAAAAATAAATAAAGAAATAAAGCAAAGAAAAACAGAAACACACAAAAATAATTTTTTATGACCAAAAAATAAATAATAAAAATAAATAGGGTTAAAGGGATACAAACTCCAAACATCCTGAATTGATATGGTAGTTTTGTCGCGTTCAGTCTGTTCTTCTAAAAACTAATATTAAAAATAAATAAAGAAATAAAGCAAAGAAAAACAGAAACACACAAAAATAATTTTTTATGACCAAAAAATAAAATATAATAAAATAAATAGGGTTAAAGGGATACAAACTCCAAACATCCTGAATTGATATGGTAGTTTTGTCGCGTTCGATCGAAGCACCAGTATAGACCAAAATGCCCCACACATATAACATTTCCACCTTCAAAATATTTGCCTTGGCAGTTCGTGTCTTTCACATCTGAATTATAGGACCTTTGCAGTAGTCATCTCTCCTTTAAAGTGCTCTCCGCATGAAGCTGAATCATAGTGGAATATGATCTCTTCGTTATGCTTCTTCAACCTTTGAGGGAAAGGTGGTGGGGGTTTTACTTCATCTTCTGCAGGTGGGGGTGAAACTTTTGCCGTGGCAATAGATTTTCCTCCATCAGCAGGATGACTTATTGAACTCTTGTCTTTTTCCTTCTCCTTAGGCAACTCATCTTGTTCAACAGTTTCAATTTGACTTTTAGATTCTTTATGTGTAATGTCGTGGTGGGAAATATCTTACTTCATCCCCCAAACTTATCTTCTAGATTAATTTGGGTTCCACTCCTCAGATTAAGTGCACTGCATTGCTCTTTTCCATGAGGCTTAGTGACCTCAGTATCACTAGAGAGGCTTCCTTGCGGGCGAGAATGTAATGTCGTGGCAATTTGACCCACTAGGTTTTCCAATGCTCTAAAAGATGAGCTATGACTTTGTAATAAAGCTGCCTGACTTTGTAAAAGTGTGCCTTGGCTTTTAATTTTTGAAGAGTGTTCGTACAACAAGGCTTTAGTTGAAGTCGTGAAATCTTTTGTCGAGGCCATAAAATCTTGCAATGAAACTTCGAGGAAATTTTTCCAGGGCATCTGTTGATGCTGAAAATTTGTAGGTTTAGAAATATTTTGTTGTGGTATATTAAGGTTGTATGCATGGTTTTTGTTGGTCTCTTGATTACGCCACAAAAAATTTGGATGTTGTTGCCATCTAGGATTGTATGTATTAGAGTAGGAGTTGTTGTAGCTTCTATTAAAATTGTCCACGAAATTAATGGACTCCTGATTTTCTGGGCATTCACTTTTATGATGGTTGCCGTGGCAAAAATTGCATGCTGAGTTGGTTACCTTGACTTCTTTCACCTCGCTGGAATGCTGCAAAAATTTCAACATGTTTGTTATGGAAGAAAGTTGGGTAGACACTGAATCCTTGTCATCAAGTTCAAATACCCCAGACACTTTCCTTCTGGTTCCAAGCCTTGTAGATGAGATTTGATAATCATTGTTGGCTATCCTATCAAGGATATTAAAGGCTTCCTAGGGTGATTTTTCAAGTAGATTACCATTCGACGAGGCATCCAACATCATACGAGTGGGTGTGTTGACTCTATTATAGAACATCACAACTTGAGTCAGTGGAATCCATGATTGGTGCACTTATGAAGAAAACTTTTGTATTGTTCCCAACACTCATACATAGAGTCTTTATCGCCTTGGAAAAATATGTTATGGAATTCCTAATATGGTTGTTCATATTGGGTGGATTATGCCATAGCAAAAATTGTTTGCACAAATCTACCCAAGACCTTATCGAGCCAGAATGTAGTCTATTAAGCCATGTCCTGGCATGATCTTTCAAAGAATATGGAAATAACTTTAATTTTAACACATCTTCATGCACACCTTGCTGTCGAAAGGAGTTACATACCTCTAAAAATACTCGAACATGTTGCCTTGCATCCTCATGAGGAGCACCAGCAAACTGTCCAATCAAGTCCAACATATCGAACATAACCGGTTTGAGTTCGAAGTGATTTGCCTAAATCTTGGGAGCTGTAATAACAGGCTTAAGGTCATCCAAGGTGGGAGCTAAGTAATCTCTAATAGTTCGTGGTCTCACAGCATTCATCGCATTTTTATTTGTCGTGACCTTTAATTCTTCAGGTTCCTCCACTTTATTTTGAACTTCGTATATAGCTTTTTGAGCTCCTTAAACATAACTTTTTTGACAGATTTTTTTTTCAATTTCAGGTTCAAAATGAGATAATGGTTCCTTGGGACTTCTACAAGTTATGCATCCGCACAATACCTGAAAAGGGTAAACAAAAATAGCGAATAAGTTCATAAAAATAAAATAAAAATGCAATAATAAAGAAATAAGATAATGATATAACAAAACTTTTAAAAACACCAATTGTCAATCCCCGATAACGGTGCCAAAAACTTGATCGCTTGTAAATGTATATGCTAAGGCAAGCAAATCTGTGCAAGTGTACACAATCGATGCAAGTAATCTAGTAGTGAGTGAGTTATCATCTCCATAGGGATTGGAGGGCTTTTAAAAGACTGCTACAGCTAGGAATATGTGTCACTAACTAATCCTAAGTATATAAGTCTAATGATATAAACAAGGAAAATATGCAATGGCAAATGGTATGAACAAATGAAAAAAAGTATGGTCGAGGCAAGAAAAATTATAAAGTGAAGTGAGCAGAAAGGTTTTATCGTGGCAAGAAAAATATGCAGAGGTAAACAAATAAAAGTTGTCAAGGCTAAATTTATCAAAACCCTGTAAATATATTGGAAACCTCACACAATCAGACTTTTAACGGAGCACTTAGGTTGGTTTTTCTATGGTGAGATGTTATTTTATACTAAGAATGATTTGGTACGCTATGCTTAGGCTGCCCGACAGGATTACTGAGTATTTTAAGACGGTTTCTATGGCAATACTTCTCAGCGTTAACTACAACCCTTGGTTTGTCAGACTGTTGTTGTAGTAATACCCTCAGCGTGAACTATAGTTTTTGTCTATCTTACTCAAGCGTCTATCCCTTTTAGTCGATTGAAACCCTCTCCTTATCTCTAAGGTAGGAAGTTTAGAACATCACCATCCCGAAACTATTTCATTATTCACGTAGATCTATCTTAATTCTCTCGAATCTAAGAATCAATTTCTAGAAAAATGAAAATCTCTCAAAAGCTCGTACAAGGTCTAGAAATCTTTTGCATAGGCACCAGGCAATATCTCGAAGCTCTTACATTTTCAAGGAAAAATGTTAAAATAGTGAACAAAACAACACTTAACAAAAACATACTGAAGCATTCATTAACGGTAAAATAAAATATCATCCAAGCATTCCCAACACCAAATAAAACATTTTATGGTGCGGTTAACATCATCCCAAAAATATTCATTAAGTACAAGCCCTTAGAAAAATAAAACATGAAGAACAAGAGGAAGAAAAACTCCCAGAATAGAGCTCTGTCGTGACATTAAACCACCACCATGACTGCTCCAGCGCACCAGCCTCTATCGAGGGCCTGACTGCAACTCCGATAAAGCCTAGCTATGGAGGGCACCAAGGACAGACGAGTGGGGAACGATGGAATAAAGGACGTCGCGACTGCCTTTTTCCAAACCTAGGGTATTTTCTCTGTATGATTCTCCCCTCTGCCTCCTCTTTTTGGCGGCTATGACTGGGTATTTATTAAGGGAATTTTCCTAGGGTTTCACATGATTAAATATTCCCTAAATACCCTTATTTTCTTATCTAAGCTATAAATGGAAAGGTGGTTGGCTGTTGTCAGAATCTTGGGGGCTTGATTGCACGTGAGGTAGATTGGACAACTGGCCATGTGACATCAGCAGTTCGTCAGATCCGCATCAAACTTACAAGATAAATCTTGCCTCGGTAAGAAAAATATGTTCATCAATGTCTTCGTCTTATGTGTTCTATTGGCCCTAGCAAATTAATTTGTTTCGGTAAATAAATTCTTCCTCAGTCATTTACTGCATCATCATAGTCAGCAAACAACCTTTCTCATCAGCAACATCAATTTAATCAAATAAACTTTTCCTCGACAAAACTTATTCACCAAGGCTATTAAAAGAGCTCAAGAGGAGACCCTAGCAGCGGAATAGAGTATGCATACGGGGAAAAGGGTTGGAACGCCTTTAGCTCCCCATCATTCTAAGAGAGGCAATGGCTCAAGTTACAGATATACTGATAGAGATGGTTATGATGCAGCTTTACAGAAAACTAAGTAATCCCAGTCTTTTGCTGCTAGCTCAGGTAGAGAATTTGTAGAGAGAACTCTATGTCAGACATGTGGTAAATTACAATATGGAGTATGCAGATTTCTCAGAGGAGCTTGTTTCCAGTGTTGTGAGATTGGTCACTTTGCCTGAACTGTCCTAAGAAATCCGAGGATAATTTGGCATAATCTGTGAGATTTGTGGCAGCTTCTAATAAAAGCAGTGGAAGAGGTAGATCCAAAGGATAATCTAAATCATTATCGCGACAAGAGACTCAGGGAGTCGCCAGAATTTACAACATTAAGACCAATGAGGATCGGGATGACCCTGAGATCATCACAGGTTATTCCATCCTTTTGATGAACATGTGTTTGTTTTAGTTGACCCTGGTTCTACACACTCATACATTAGTACAAAGTTGGTTAGAGCTAGAGAAATTTCTTTAGAACTAATTGTTAGTGAGATAATAGCGGTAAACCCTATGGGCCACAGTGCGAGAGTAACTCGAGTATGTAGAAAATGCCCGTTAAAGATTCAAGGGATTGTGTTCCCAAAAAACTTAATGGAGTTGCCTTTCAATGAGTTTGATATCATTTTGGGCATGGATTGGTTGTCTCCACATCATGGGTGGGTTGATTGTCTCATGAAGCGATTATTTTTTAAGGATGTGGAAGGCTCCAAATTAGTAGTGATCGACGAAAAGGCGAAATCACCATCCAATGTGATATCAGCCATGACTGCAAGAAAAATGATGACAAAAGGGTGTATAACTTTCCTAGCTAACGTGATAGACACTCGAGTAGCGGAAGTGAGAGTAGATAATATTCCCACGATTAGGGAGTTTTCAAATGTTTTTCCTGAGGAGTTACCGGGATTACCTCTAGATCGCGAGGTGGAATTTCAGATTGAGGTTTACCCAGGTACCGAACCTGTTTCTATGGCTTCATATCCAATGACTCCAATGGAGTTAAGAGAATTAAAAGCCCAATTGCAAGAGCTACTTGATAAGGGATTTGTGAGACTGGGTGTTTCTCATTGGGGAGCACCTGTGCTTTTTGTGTAAAAGAAGGACGGATCTATGCGATTATGTATCGACTACCATCAGTTAAATAAAGTAACGATAAAGAATAAATATCCTCTTCCGAGGATTGATGATCTGTTTGATCAACTGAAAGGCACAGCAGTGTTCTCTAAAATAGACCTGAGGTCGGGGTACCACCAATTAAAGATAAAAGATTATGATATTTCAAAGATGGCTTTTTGGACTCGATATGAACACTCCGAATGTGTGGTGATGCCATTTGGATTGAATAATGCTTCTGCAACATTTATGGACTTGATAAACCGAGTATTCCAACCTTACATGGATCAATTTGTGGTGGTCTTTATAGATGATATTTTGGTATATTCCAAGTCAAGAGATGAACATAATGCTCATCTTCGAGTGGTTCTTCAGACACTTCGAGATAATAATTTGTATGCCAAATTATCCAAGTGCAAATTTTGGTTAACTCAGATTGCTTTCCTTGGTCATATAGTCTCCGCAGAAGGCATAAGAGTATATCCAAAAAAAAATCAAGCTATAGTGGATTGGCAAACCCTAAATAATGTTTCTAAAGTTTAAAGTTTTTTGGGGCTTGCTGGTTATTATAGACGATTCGTGAAGAACTTCTAAATGTTAGCTTCACCGCTAACTAAGTTGTTTAGCTTCACCGCTAACTAAGTTGTTATGGAAAGATGTGCCTTTTGTTTGGTCGGAGAAATGTCAAGAAAGTTTTGAAATGTTAAAGAGAATCGTAACAGAGGCCCCAGTGCTCGTATAACCTGAGTCGGGTAACGACTATGTAGTCTTTAGTGATTCATCTCATAATGGGTTGGTATGTGTGCTTATGCAAGATAGAAAAGTTGTGGCTTACGCCTTAAGATAGCTAAAGAATCATGAGATAAATTACCCAACACATGACTTGGAATTGGTAGCGGTCGTTTTTGCATTGAAAATTTGGCATCATTATCTGTACAGTGAGCGGTGCCATATTTATACGGATCACAAGAGTCTAAAGCACTTACTGACTCAGAAAGAACTGAATTTCAACAGATAATATGGATCGAGCTTTTAAAAGATTATGATTTGATCATCTATTATCATCCAGGAAAATCTAATGTAGTAGTTAATGCACTTAGTTGAAAGACTTTTGCAGCTATACATGCTTTGAATGAGTGTATGTATTTAAAGGAAGATGATGCCTTGATTGTTGAACTTAAGTTAAAGTCGATGCTTTTGGATCGGGTAAAAGAGCTGTAAGGTCAATATGAGAAATGATTGGCAAGAATTGTGCAAATAGAAAAAGATGAGGCTAAAGACTTCGAGCTAAGAAGTGAAGGAAGATATTCTTTCCGAGGCACATTATAGTCCTTTGACTATGCATCCAGGAAGGAATAAAATGTATCAGGATATGAAGAGTTGTTTCTGGTGGCCTGGCATGAAAAGAGTTGCATCGGAGTTTGTTGCAAAATGTTTGACATGTCAGCAAGTGAAAGATGAACATCAAGTGCTTTCCGGATTGCTACAACCGATATCCATTCTTGAGTGGAAGTGGGAACAAGTTACAATGGATTTTGTTTCGAGGTTACCTATGTCACAAGGTAAAAAGGACTCGATATAGGTAATTGTGGATAGATTGACCAAGACAACTCACTTTATTCCAGTTCGGGTAGATTACTCAATGGATAAATATACAAAATTGTATATAAAAGAGATAGTTCGACTACATGGAGTGCCTATATCGATAGTGTCTGATACCCAAGGTTTACTTCAAGATTATAGAAGTCCTTGCATGAGGCATTAGGTACTCGATTGAATTTCAGCACATCATTTCATCCTCAAACAGATGGGCAGTAAGAATGAACTATTCAGATATTAGAGGACATGCTAAGGGAAAGTGTGATTGAGTTTAAAGAACCATGTGAAAGGTATTTGCCTTTAGCGAAATTTGCTTATAATAACAGTTATCAACCGAGTATTAAGATGACCCCATATGAAGCTTTGTATGGGAGAAAGCGTCGAATACCATTAAATTGGTTTGAACTCAAAGATCGAGACCTAGTTGGCCCGGATTTGATGAAAGAAATGGAAGAGAAAGTGATAATTATCCAGGATAATCTAAAGATAGCCTCCAATCGACAAAAGCCTTCTGCTAATTTAAAAAGAAAAGAAATTGAATTTCAAGTGAGAGACAATGTATTTCTGAAGGTACCGCCTTGGAAGAAAGTAGAGATTTGGGCGCAAAGGAAAACTGAGTCCGAGATTCATTGGACCTTATGAGATTTTGAAAATGGTCAGACCAGTAGCATATCAATTAGCTTTTCCTCCTGATATGGACAATATCCATAATATTTTTCATGTGTTGATGCTCAGAAGGTACCGATCAGATCCATCCCATATTATCACACCAGAAGAAATAGAGATCCGACCAGATCTGATTTACGAGGAAGAACCAGTGTGGATCTTGGCTTGAGAAAACAAAGAACTGCGTAACAAGAAGATTCCTCTAGTTAAAGTACTTTGGTAAAACCATAAGGTAGAAAAAACCACTTAGGAAAAAGAGGAGGACATGAGGAAACAGTTTCCACACCTCTTCATATAAGGTATTTTTTAAAATTCGAGGATGAATTTTCTTAAGGGGAGAATTTTAATAACCTGAATATTGAGTCAATGACTAAATTGAAAGAATTTGAAATTTGAGGGATTAAATTGAATAAATGGTAAAGTATAAGAAATGATTTAGAATTTGTGTGTAAGACCAATTAGTAAGAATGGAAGAATTGAAGGGGCATTTTGGTCTTTTAGAGGAGAGATGGATTTAAAATTATTTTAAATAGGATATTTAATAAGAGGAAAAAGGGGAAAGTTAAAAAAGAAGCCAAGTTATCTTCTCTTCTCCTTCTCCCCGTGTGCCCGTTCTCTCCATAGCCAAAGGTGAGTTTCCACCAAGTTGGTTTTTCCTTTAGTTTAATGGCTGGTTTTGAAACCTTAAGTGTTATAAAGGTTTAAGGAAAGTTCAAGGATGCTTAAAACTAAGTTCAAGGATGCTTAAAACTAAGTGATTAGTGAATTATTTGAGATTTAAGAAAATGGGTTTTTGAGTGATAAGATGAAATATGAGTTTTTATTTAAGTTTAAAGGTATATTTAACTTGCCAAATAGATAAATAAGAGATTTAATCGAAATTTGAGTAAAAATCAAGCTGAAAAATGTAAAATCTGGGTAAGGGTATCAGTATTGGAAGATCAGTACCCATAATATAAGTTTAAATTTGAAGAAATACAATGAACAATATTGATACTGATGCAATTAGTATCGATACTGATGTGGGTATCGATACTAAGATAAAGGTATCAATACCATGGATTCCAAAATGCAGAAATGACATCGATACTGAAAGGGAGTATCAATACCATGGTATAGAAGTATCGATACCATGGTAGGGGAACCGATGCTATTAAGCCTGGAATTTTAAGATATGACGAATTTTAATAGAAATTAAAAATAATAGTACTTTTTAAGTATTATTAAAAGAATAAATGTTAGAAAGTATACTAACAATTGTATGATATGTGTAATAATGGATGCGTGTGTAGATCATAACCAAACTCCAGAGTCAAGCAAGAAAAAAGGCAAAGATAAAGTTGTCAAATAGCTGGGCATATCAAGTGAGTGCATTTATTTTATTTATATTAGATGAGGAAGACTCGCAATGAGTCAACCTCGAATGTTTTGATTTAATGTATGTTTTACATCGGTTCAGATGCAAAGTAACCATAGAAGTAGTTTGTTTTCTATCCCTCAAATAATTTATTTGATAGGCTCTGCTTATCACGTCATTCATTGTCTTAACAAATAAGATCTATAAATTTTAATTCATAAATTTTAATTCATAAATTTTAAAATAACTTCTACTTCTACTTCTTATTTATGTATAAGAAAGATATGAAGATTTGCTTTAAAAAATAAAATTAACAAATATTATTAGTTGATATTATAGATGACATGATATGTGAAATTGATCTAATAATTTTTACTTACTCACATAAATAGAAGATCAAAATCCAAAATTAAAGCGAGAGAGCAAAATTAAAAAAAGAAAGAGAGAAAAAAGAAGCAAGCTAGCAAGTAGCCTCCAAGACTCAGCAACATTTACTTTTTTTTTTTTTTGAATTCTGTAATTGTTACCAACTGTAACAACTGAACCAATGCCCATCGTTGGATCCACATAAGAACTCAAAGCGCTATAAAACAAATGAAACTACAGTGAGGGATCCGAATTTTGAACGACGAAGATCCAAAATGACGGATCCAAATCTGAATCTGCAAGTATCGGGTTGGGAGGAATAAGAGAGAGGCTCGAAAGATCGAGGGTGATCTCGATGTTAAACTCTCTTCTTATGCTCGGTGCTAGGTTCACCCAAGGAGGTTTGCTCTTTTACTGCTACAGTCTTCTTTTTTTATTATTTCCAGAATTCTGTTTCGAATGTTTGTTGTTTTGTGTTATTTAGTTGCATTTTGATATTCTTTTGGTAGATTACTGAAATTCCGAGTAAATCTGTTTAAAAACAGAACAAACTCTACTGGTTTAATAGCTTGGGTTTCTTTTCATACCGGAGAGCATATTTTCCGTTATTTGTATTTAGGAATAAATAGCCTTATGAATCTGGTTAGATTTCCTTTTTTTCCGCCTTTTTAATGATATGTACTCACGTTTAGCTTATCTAGAGACTTAGCTCGCCAACGGTTTGTTCAAGTAGGTCATGGAAGTCTATGGAAATGGAAATTCAATCATTGCTTGAGAAGCTACTGGACACAAATGATTCCATGAGTAGATGTGCTGCATCTGCTGCTTCAACTGCGTCGGTCACCCAGAAGCTTGCAAGGCATAGAGACATACTACATGAGTTTACTCAGGTTTGTTTGTTGACTACGATGTAATTTTTATCTTGACTTGTTATTTGAACTCGGGTTTCTATGTTTGATTATCAAGAATTTAATACTAGCAATTTCATATGGTTCTCTAGGAACTTTAGAGTTTGAACTCTTTACATAATCTGTTTTGTTGTTTATTTGGTCTGAATTCTACTTGGGAACTTAGAGGGAAAAAAGAAGTTACATGGACAAATGGGGATGTATAAAACCCTTTCCATGTACATGAAAAATTGATGCGGGGAAAACAGGTGGTTCTCCGGCGTGTTGAAATTTGCAGGTAGAATTGCCCTTATCTCCTCTCTTCTTGAACTGTGAGAGGAGCGGAAGAAAAGTGGCGCTAACGCTGGTAGCAGGACATATTTAGTTAATCCTCAAATTCATTAATTCCTTCTCAATTTCTGAAAAATAATAGATGTCTTATTCACACTGTATACATTCATCGGTTGTACCTTGGTTATATATCAAACTAACCCCAAATACATTCATTCACACAATTTCTGCTTTTAGACCGTCACTGTCTTTATTTGATACCTTGGTTCGTTGCACTGTATATTGATGCATCAATGTTCCATGGATTACCCATTTGGAAAAGTTTATTACTATTTCCATCCTTCTGAATTAATGGTACATTTTTGCTAGGAGTTTAGAAGAATCAAGGGAAACATAAACTCAATGAGGGAACATGCAGAGCTTCTGAGTTCTGTCAGAGATAATAATAATGAGTATAAGGTAGTCATATGATTTAATTTCTTGGCTTTGTCACTCCCATTTCCAATACTATGTTGTTTCCCAAAGTTCACCAACTTTCCATCATGCAGGCATCTGGGAGTATGTCACCAAGAATACAATTACTCAGAGAGCGAGCTGCAATCCATGGAAGCATTGCTCATGTAAGATTTAATTATTCTTTTATTAATGTTTATCATGGCGTAAGCTTTATCAAAAGACCTCCTTCTGTTTTCTACTGCAATGTGTTCTATATTACTATTTTGCAATTCTTCAAATGGTTTTGGATTAGCTGTGCAACAAACATACATGTTATAAACAGAACAAACAGATAAACCTGTTGGTCAGAAAACTAAAGCAAGTGCCTGGTTTGTAGAACCCAAAAACCTTAGTAATCGAAATCATCGTTGTCAAATATCCGTGGTCTAGTTGCAATTCAAATCTAGTTTACTAAAAACCAACTCAATGCTTTGAAAAAGAAAACCATTTTTTATATGAGATACATGAACCTAGAATCATTCTCCTACAAATAATACAAGTTCAAAATATATAAGCTAAAATAACAAAGCCCCATTTCCAAGTTTGTCTACAAGAAGCATTTCTATAGCTTAGATGACAGTGTTCCATCAGTTTGTTTTTGGTTGCTTAATGATGTATACCCGTTTACCTCCTAATCATCAGTGACAAATACATCCTTGATTGCTTTCTTGCAATTGAAGGATCTGGGTTTAAAATTGAAACACTATGCAAGTGACCCGTGTCTAATGAAAATTGAATCTGTTGGTGCTGTTACCTGCTTACACAAGTCGTTCATAGTTGGGGATTGATGGGATCTTATTGCATACCAGCAGTGAGGCTGTGGATTTAGGTACTCCTCTTTTAACAGAAGGGATTGATGTGTGACATGCAGAATAAACTTTACAGTAAGGTGGCGTTTGGTTTGCTGGAATGTTTATGAGGGAATTAAAATCTGTGAAGAATTGAAATATGTAGGAATTGGAATCTGAATCTTAAACTTGTTTGGTTGGCAGGAAATTGAATTAGAATCCAATTTCATATTTTGTTTGGTTCGTAGACATGTCAGATGAATTTGATTTCAGTAATGTAAAATGACAGAATCGCCCTTCTTATTTTTTTGCTTAATTTTAGTTTGTTTTATAACTTACATGTAGTAATATATTATAAAAATTTAAAAAAAATTTAAATTTTCATTTTATTGATTGATTATTCATTTCAATAAATTATAAAAATCATACTAATAAACATCATAAGTTAAAATCATCCCAATTAGGGATGACCATGGGTCGGGTTGGGTCAAGTTTTTGGTCCATCCGACCCGACCCGAGAACAAGAGATCCTCCACCCGAGACCCGACCCGACCCGATCCGAATATATGAATTAGAAACTCGACCCGAAATAATAAAAAAAATTATTTTTATTCAATAAAAGCAGTGACTTAATTGAAAAAAATATATATATAGAGGGGTATTATTGTAATTATTCCTAAATATATAAGGTAAAATTATTTTTTTTTTCAGGTCGGATCGGGTATTTTTCACCCTAAACCCGACCCGAATATCACACTTAAAAAAACCCAACCCGAATATCAAACTTAAAAAAACTCGACCTGAACCATAAAATTATAAAAAAAACCCGGCTCGATCCTGAAATTTTTTGAAAAAAATCCGACCCAACCTGAATATCACACTTATAAAAACCCAACCCAACCCGAATATCAAACTTTAAAAAGCCCGACCCGAACTCGATTTTTTTTTAAAAATCCGACAGATCTCGAAATTTTAAAAAAATCCGACCCGAATACTAAAAGATTGATGAGGGTAGTATGGTCAAATTTCACATTCTCTCCTCCAAAGGATTTCAATTCCAACATGTTATTGATGTAATTTACTTTCCCTTCCTTAATGGAATTGGATTCCAATTCCCTTTTGAAAACTTGAACCAAACATGGGAAAGTGGTGAAATTGGATTCCAATTCTCCCATAATTCCAAGGGATTTCAACGAACCAAACGCCACCTAACTGTTCGTTTCATAATATATATATATTGCTATCTTTAATGCCTTGCTACTGTTGGGAATCGATCTCATGCCTTGCTAGCTTCAGTGCCTTGTTACAGAATAGCTTGTATTATTATTCGCTAGTTTTTCCTTCCCTATTTGTCAAGAGATTGTTTAGTTCCATTTTTCTAACCTGTATGTTTGCTTTCTGTAGATAGATGGCGTGATTAATCAAGCTCAAAGTACAAGAGCAGTGTTGGGCTCTCAAAGAGCTTTGTTCGGAGATGTTCAAGGGAAAATAAAAGTTCTAAGTGACAAGTTCCCTGTTATCCGTGGCTTGCTTTGTACTTCCATGATGTGTCTTCATTAATCATTACTGCGCTTTTATTCTGTATACCATCTTTTTGGACTAATGGTCTCCCCTTCTATAAGAAATTTTGTCCTCGAAATTTACCTTATGAGAATAGTTGAGGAAACTGAGTCTCCATAGACTCTAATGTCTCCCAAGTAGCTTCAGAGGGACCTCGGCCATTAAAATACACTTATTTCGAAGAACTCTCTCAACTCTTTGTAAGATCTGAACAGACTCCTCATCATATGACAAATCAAGTCTCAACTCTACCTCTTCAACCTGAATGATGTGACCCGGATCTGGACGGTATCGCCTCAACATTGATACATGAAAGACATCATGAATACGACTGAGGTCAGGAGGGAACTCAAGCTGATATGCAACAGGTCTTACCCTCTTCAATATACGAAATGGTCCAATAAATCTTGGACTCAATTTACCTTTATGCCCGAATCTCAATACTTTCTTCCAGGGTGATACTTTTAAAAAGACATGATCTCCAACTTCAAACTGAATATCTTTACTCCTCTGATCTGCATAAGACTTATGTATATCAAATGCCTCTTTCAGAAGGTCACGGATCAATTTGACTGTTTCATCCGTCTCGCGTATTAACTCAGGTCCCAACGTCTTCCTTTCACGTAACTCAGTCTAACAAATCGGGGTGCAACATCTACGCCCATAGAGTGCTTCATAGGGTGCCATACGAATGCTGGTCTGATAACTGTTATTGTATGCAAATTCAGTCAACGACAAAAAGTTTTCCCAGCTACCACGAAAATCAATTAAGCAGCCCCGCAACATATCCTCCAAAATTTGAATCACTCTCTCAGATTGAACATCAGTTTGTGGGTGAAAGGATATACTATAATCCAATCTTGTTCCCAAAACCGTATGTAGCGCCTTCCAAAATCTCGAAGTAAATCTAGGATCTCGATCAGAAATAATAGACAATGAAACACCATGCAATCTGACAATCTCCGAAATATACAATCTCGTCAGTTTATCCAAAGTATAATTTACCTGCACAGGAATGAAGTGAGCTGACTTTGTAAGCCTGTCAATAATCACCAGACTGAATCCCTTTTCAAAGGAGTCATAGGTAAGCCGGTAACAAAATCCATAGTAATTCGCTACCATTTCCATTCAGGAATCTTGATAGGTTGCAATAAACCTGACGGATGTTGATGTTCTGCCTTAACTTGTTGACAAGTCAGATACCTAGCCATAAAATCTGAGATATCCTTCTTCATGCTGACCCAATGATACCTCTCTCTCAAATTTCGGTACATCTTATCTCCACCGGAGTGCATAGCATATGGACTACTGTGAGCCTTATTAAGGATAGTCTGCCTTAACTCAGCATCATCAGGCACACAATATCGATCATTGAAGCATAATACTCCATCCTGATCAACATTATAATATGATATTGTCCCTTGTTCTAACTGCTCAAAATTGGAAAACAATGAGCTATCAAGAGATTGTTTAGCCTTGATCTCATCAACCAAAGTCGGCTTAACTTGCAATTCTGCTAACAGAGTGCCATCGTCATATAAATTCATCTTGGCCATTAAAGACCTCAACTCCGATACCGCCTTTCGACTCAAAGCATCCGCCACAATGTTAGCTTTACCAGGGTGATAATCAATCACACAATCATAATCCTTTAGAAACTCTAGCCAACGCCGTTGTCTCAAATTAAGCTCCTTCTAGGTCAGAAGATACTTTAAGCTCTTATAATCAGTGAAAATGTAACACTTCTCTCCATAAAGATAGTGCATCCAAATCTTCAGGGAAAAAATCACTGCTGCTAACTCCAAATCATGAGTAGGATAATTACACTCATGTGATCGCAGTTGACGTGACGCACAAGCCACTACCTTAGCCTCCTACATTAGAACACAACCAAGTTCTGAATGTGAAGCATCACTATACACTGTAAAATCCTTCCCGGACTCTGGTTGAATTAACACTGGTGCTGGAGTCAAAACCGCCTTTAATTTCTCAAAGCTTTCATGTTGTGCCTCGCCTCAGTCAAATGACACGTTCTTCTTTAACAGCTTTGTCAAATGAGCAGCAATGATCGAGAAACCCTCGACAAAATGTCGATAATATCCAGCCAAGCCCAAGAAACTGCGAATCTCAGAGACATTCTTGGGCCGTTTCCAATTCACAATAGCCTCGATCTTGTTTGGATCAACCTGAATACCTCGCGCAGAAATAATATACCCCAAAAACGAAACTTCTTGAAGCCAAAACTCGCACTTGCTTAGTTTGGCATATAAACGACGCTCTCTCAAAGTCCGCAGAACGATCTTCAAATGCTCGTCATGCTCCGTCTCAGTACGAGAATAGATCAGAATAACATCAATAAAGTCAACCACAAATTGGTCCAAATATGACCGGAACACACGATTCATCAAATCTATGAAAGCTGCGGGAGCGTTCGTCAGACCAAAATACATTACTAAGAATTCATAATGACCATATCTAGTGCGAATGGTCGTTTTTGCAACATCGGACCCCTTAACTTTCAGTTGATAATACCCCGAACGAAGATCAATCTTAGAGAATACAGGGTGCTCCTCGCAACTGATCAAATAAGTCGTCAATCCTGGGTAATGGATACTTATTCTTGATCGTCATCTTGTTCAACTTCCGATAGTCAATACATAGCCTTAGGGACCCATCATTCTTGTTCACAAACAGAACTGGAGCTCCCCAGGGTGAGGTACTGTGCCGAATAAATCTTCGATCGAATAATTCTTGCAATTGGACCTTCAACTCCTTAAGTTCCTTTGGAGCCAAGCGATAAGGTGCCATAGAAATAGGTGAAGATCCCAGATAAGTCTCAATCTCGAACTCTACCTCTCTATCAAGAGGTAACCCAGGCAATTCCTCCGGAAAAACATCAGGAAACTAGCTAACTGTACGAATCTCCTCGATCGTGGACAAGGAACCTTTAGTGTTTAAAATACAGGCAATGAAAGTCTCATATCCCTTCCTAATCATACGATCAATTTCCATAGTTGAAACAATATTAGAGGGATAGCCACGCCGTTCACCAATTAACACAACAGTCCGACCATCTGAAGTCTTCAGAGTAGCTCGCTTGTATTCGCAATCCAGATTTACCTTGTGTTTATTCAACCAATCCATCCCAAGAATTATATCGAACTCCTCTAAAGGAAGCTCCATAAGATCAGTGAGAAAAATTTCTCCCTGAACCTCCAGAGGACAACGCCAAAATACTTTATTCACTAATATTGCCTGTCCTACTAGACTCGTAACCATAACATTATTATCAGTGTTCTCGATCAGAATCTGAAGATTTCGAGATACTGAACTCGATACATAGGAGTGGGTGGAGCCATTGTCCAGTAATGCAAAATATGGGATAGAATAAATAGTAAATGTACCTGCAATAACCTCAGGCTCATCTCTGTCATCCCGACGTCTAGCTGCGTAAACCAAAGTTGGATATCTAGCCTCAGAAGCTATTAGCTCTCTATTCTGCTGAGGTTAGGCTTTACTATCTGCGATGCTGATCCGGAAGGTCTTCCCTGACTACGACCTCTGGCTGGAGTCTGAACTGATGCTTGGGAACGCGCATGAATCTAGTTAGTTGTCTTCTCAGATGAAAATAACTGTGGGCAATCCCTCTGGAAATGACTACTTGATCCACACTGGTAGCATACCCCCATTTTCTTACGACACTCCTATGTGTGTTGTTTACCACAATACTCGCAAAGGGGCCCATGAGGGAACGACGAAAAACCACCTCAACTAATAGCTGAAGGTGAAAATGCTGCAGGCCTAAAGCGTGTATTGCTCCTCTGAGGGGATGAAGTACGAGTCCTCTTACCAAACTGTGCAGATGATTCAGTAGGGCCAAAAGATTTCTTAGATCGCTCCTGATCAACACGCTCTCTAACATAAGCTAAAGCCTCCATCTCCTCAGCATCCTTGGCTCTGCTCACCAACACATCAAAAATCTCATCTTGAAGTGCAACCACCAGCCTACGTAGCTCGTGTCTGAGTCCGAGGGAAAATTTACGGCATCGATCTCTCTCGGTAGGCACCAGACTGATTCCATACTTTAACAATTTCAAGAACTCTATCTCATACTCTGAAACAGTCATGTCACCCTGAACCAAGTCCTGAAACTGTTATCATCTCTGAACTAAGTAACGCTCACCCAGAAAACGGCTCTTAAAGAGCTCCTTAAAGAAATCCCAGGTCAAACGATCGGTAGGAATACTATTGGTCACTGACTGCCACCAGGTGTGGGCATTTCTATCTAACATCGCTACTTCCCCCAAATATCTCTTAGTTGGGTCCAAACCCAAGTGATCCATACGTCTCTCAGTATCTTGGAGCCAATCTTCTGCTTCAGTAGGAACTCCACCAAGTTGTCCTCCAAAAGTTCTGACTCCATTAGCAATCAGAGTCTGAGAAAGGCACCTCTGATCCAACACCTGCAGCTCTGACCGCTCATTGAATCAACTGTAGAAACTGTCTACCAAAATTCTCATCAAATGCAACTCTGGTAGAATCTGGCTCACTATCGGTTGCTCCCCTGATAGGTGTAGTCATGCCAATACCAGCGGTAGGAGGTAAATTTGTCGGGGTCGTAGGAGCAGGATCACCTGTCGGAGGTGGGGGATATACTCGAATCTCGTCGATCGGGTCTGTAAATCTAGCCACTCGACCTCGTCCTCGGCTAGTTCGACATCCACGTCTAACACTCATTTTGGTATATCTCTAGTTTACTATAGAAGATAAAACTTAGGGTTAGATAAGCACTTGGAGTCTCGAACACAATTAAAATCGTAAAAATTTTTAGACATGGCCTTAGCAACTTGTTTTGTAAAATATTTTAAAATCGTATTTTCAATTTGGACTCATACACAGTCCGAAGTTTAAAAACCAAAAGCTCTAATACCAATTAAATGTAACCCCTAGACCTAGCCTATGCGTTTCGACTAAGTCTAGTGGATCACATTCATGATTCT